GACAGCGAGACCATCCGGAATGCAGCCCGCTGGATTTTGGTGGAGCCACCGCAATTCTGCGAGCGCCGGGACCACGGGTCAGCACGGCAGCTGCGCCCCCAGCTCATCGCCGAGATCAACCGCTACATCGCAGAGCACCTGGTGGAGGCTTACGACCCCCGTGTCCACGGCGGCGAGCGCGACTTCGCCATTGCAGTGAACCCTTGGGGGGCGAACTTGAAGGCGGACGGGGAGATACGTCCCTTGATGGACGCCAGCATCACCGGCATGAACCGCTGCATGGCAGCCTGGCCGGTGATGCTCCCGCAGCCGGAGGACGCGCTGCGAGCGGTGAAGCGGGGAGATTTTCTGGGGAAGAGGGACCTCAGGCACGGGTTCCACCACGTGGTCCTAGACGTGAGTGCGCGGAGGTTGATGGGATTTAGGCACCCGGAGACAGGGAGGCTTTTTCGGTGGCGGGTGCTCCCGTTCGGGGCGAAGCAGAGCCCGGGGATTTTCTGCGGGCTGACCGCAGCTGCCGCCCAGATCTTCATGCAGCTGTTCGAACAAGAAGGAATTATTTGTAAGGTTTTGGTGTACCTCGACGACTTCCTTCTCATCGCGCCGTCGCACCGGATGTTGCGACGGGCGTTCGCAGCTATGGACCGGGAGTCGCAGCTATTGGGGCTCGTGTGGAAGCGCTCGAAGGATGAGGGTCGGGACACCCCAACCCACCGCCTGACGTTCCTGGGATTGGACTTGGACACGGAGGCCTTGGCGCTGCAGCTGCCCGACGCCAAGCGAGGTAAGTACTTGGGCACGCTCTGTGAGTTCCTCGCGCAGCTGGACGGGGAGTCTCGCTGCCCAAGGAAGCAGCTGGAGAAACTTTGCGGCCAGCTGTGCTTTGCGTCGAGGGCATGCCGGTGGGGGCTGTCTTTTCTACAGAACATCTTCGACGCCCTCTACGCGGATCCCTATGGGATTGAGGGGGGGGAGCACGGCTGGGTGACGGTCAACGATGCAGTGCTGGACGACTTGATCTTCTGGCGTACCGTGCTGCCGCCGGGATCTTCGCCTTGGGACGGGACGTTCCAATTCTGCGTCGAGGAGGTCCGCCACCTTCTGGAGCGGGCGGACGAGGTGTGCACCACCGACGCGGCCGCGGTGCACGGCTGGGGCGCCGTGTGGAGAGAGGACAGGGCCGCTGGGAAGTGGTCCGACAGTGAGTTGCGCACGGAGCACTCCACCCACACGGAGTTGCGGGGGATCTTGCATGCACTGTGCCACTGGGGGAACGTGTGGGCTGGGATGCGCGTGTTGTTCATGACGGACAACACGGGGGCGATGGCAGCCGTGAATCACGGAGCAGCACGCAGTCGGGTGAACCGAGAGGTGGTCCGCGACATCGCCTACGTCGCCATCGCACTGGGGATCCACGTGAGGGCGCACTACGTTCCGGGCCCCCTCAACGTGGCAGACGGGCTGAGCAGAGGCAAGGAGCAGCCCGTTTTTTCTAATTGGACTTTTGTGCGGTTCGAGGAGTACAATAACCCCCCGGCGTATGTGGACGCGTGCGCCGAGGACGACGGGAGCAACGTGCAGCCTGGATGCAAAATCTTCTTCTCACGCGAGCGGCCTATACAGCAGCACTGGAGAGCGCTGGTCGGGCGGGTGGTGTGGTGCAACCCGCCGTTCCAGCAGATCTCTACGATTATCCCCGCGCTGCTGCAAGCGTGGCAGGCGGCCCCACACGACACGACCATCAGGCTGATCGTCCCCGAGTGGAAGACGGCGGGGTGGTTCAAGCGCTTCTTCCGTAGGCGCAACCCCGTGTTCCGTCTTCTCCGGCGGTTCCCGGCGGGCGAGCGACTGTTCGCCTCGCCGGCTTTCCCCACCCGCCCGCCCCCGACCCGCTGGCCCGTGCTCCTTGTCCAGCTACCATGAGTCTGGACTTGGGGGTGAGGAGCGGGGGTCCATGGAGAGATGGAGTCGGAGGCGACCATGGGCCACCGCTGGTTTGCTGGTGGTGTGCGGGGGACGTGTGGGAGGACGGGGCGCTGTGGTGCAAGGTGTGTCGTGGGTGGTTCCACCGGGAGTGTGTGGGGGTGCCGAACAAGGCGTTTGTGGGAGGGGTGTTTTGTTGTCCAGAGTGCACGTTAACCAACGCGAGGGCCCCGGTAACCGCGGAGAACTTAGAGTTAGCCAGGCGAGTGGTGGTTTCTAAGGCGTCCACCTTACAAGAGACCACCCTAACAACTTACTGGTCGGGATTGGCGCGGTTCGATCGGTGGTGGCAAGGCGAGATGGGAGCAAGGCAAACTTGCTTCCCAGCCGGGCCAGGCGCCGCGCTGCCGCCCGACACATTGAGCATGTTCATAGTCTGGGCGCAAGGGAAAGGCTACGCCCCCGCAACAGTTCAGAACACACTAGCAGCAGTCCGAAGATGGCACTTCGAGAAGGGATTGGAGTACCCAGCAGCTGAGCCGGGACTCTCCGATTTAACGAGACAATTGGCGATGAGGGTGAGGGCACGGGGGGCGAAGTCACCTAAGTTCGCCTACCCACACTCCCTGTTGGCCTTCGTGCTGAGGAAGGTCGACCAGAGCGTTGAGGAGGACCCTGCAACCCTGCTGGAGGGTGCCCGGGACGCAGCCATGCTAGTGATCGGTTTCTTCGGGATGCTCCGAAAATCAGAGGTCCATCGGCTGCGGGTGGAGGACATCCGACTGGGAGAGACGGATGCCGGGAGCCACGTGGTGCTGAGAATAAGGTGGAGCAAGACAGACATCCAGGGCAGAGGAGCGGAAGTGGTGCTGGCCGGGCGCACCGGATCGGGGATTAACATCGCCTTGGTGGTGCGGCGGTTCCTAGGACTGCTGCAGCACCAGGACCCCGCAGAACCCGCTTTCCAGCGGTGCAGGGCAGGCAGCTGGACGGGGCCGTACGCGTCCAGCGCGTTCGTGACGCGCAGGCTGCGCATCCTGCACCGGCGATTGGGGGAGACCATGCCCGGGCTGGGACTGGACTCACTCCCCGTTTCCGCCCACAGCCTGAGAGTGGGCGGCGCATCATGGGCGGAAGAGAGGGGAGTCCCCCTGGTGTGGCTGATGGCGCATGGCCGGTGGAGGAGCGGAGCTGTGGACGTCTACAGGACGCTGGCGCTGGACGCGAAGCTAAGGGTGTGTGAAAAACTGTAATGGGGGGGGCCGGGAACAAGGAAGCGGAGGAAGCGAGGAACCCCCGTCCAACCGAGCAGGCGGGAGGGACGCAAGACGCCGATCGAGCGCGCCGGACCGGCCAATGGACAGACGGGGACCGATGCCACCGCGAAGAAGGCAAGAGGCCGCAAGCGAGCCAGACGCCAGAGCCCAGTCGACGCCGCAGAAGACGAGGAGAACCAATCGGTGGAGAGCCGGAGAGAGTAAGGCAGGAGTGACACGGAACGCCGAGCGAGTGCCGCGGGCCGACCGAGGGACGAGCCGGGACCAATGCCACCGCGAGGGAGGCGGGAGATTGCCAGCAAGCCAGCCACCGGGCCCAGACCGGCGCTTACAGGCTACAAGGAGATCCTACCGATGGAGAGCAGGAGAGAGCCGGACAGGGGGATCCCGGGCCGCCGAGCGAGCGCCGCGAACCGGCCGGGGGAACCTCGGGGACCAATGCTGCCGCGAAGAAGGCGGAGGGCCGCAAGCAAGCCGTGCATCAGAGCCGGGCCGGCTCACACGACAGGCAGGGAGATCCAACAAGCGGAGAGCAGGAGAGAACTGAGGAAAGGACACGGGGGCGCGAGAAGGTACAGGCGACACGGCAAGAAGGCTCGACAAAGCTGGCGGGACCCCCGATCTGGCGCAAAAGGGGGCGACGGTCCACTGGATACCTGGAGAGTCTTCCGCCTCGCATCCAGGCGGAGCCCCCGGGAGGAAGGGCAGCCGAGGGATCCGGCCCGGAAGGGCCGTCCGCAGCAGGCGACGGGGAGCGGGGGGCGGTGGTGCGGAGCCCATGATCAGGCAAAGAGGAGATGTTGCGCAGGCAAATAGGGAAGTCAACAACTCGCGGAGGCCTGGCGGGAGGAGATGCAGGCGCGCACGGAGGGAACGGATCGCCAGCACCTACCCGGCGGATGATGATGGCCGCGACCACGCGAACCCGGGGGGGGAGGCCGACGCCAGCGGGGGAAGGCAGCCAGGGGAGCCGGGGCAGTGAGCGGCGGTCGAGAGCAGGACGAACGCGCAGCAAAGGGGGTGGCCGCATGTAGACAGCAAAAAAAAAACGTGGTGTACTAGCAACCGCCATACGGATAAGCAACGCGCAACTGCCCGCGCACCAAACCCACACGCAAAGCGACCAAGGCGATAACAAGAGGAGTTGCGATTGGGGGGAGGCGAGAGTGTGAGGGAGGTTGTGAATGTTGTAGCTGGGAGTGAGTGGGAGGGTGTCCCCTCCCCGGGGGCGGGGGCCGCGACCGCGCCGATGAGCCGACGGGCCAGGGACGGCGGGTCGGCGGCCCACCTCCGGGTGAGTGTCTGGGTGCTGGGTGGCTGACGCCGGTGGGCCCGGGTCAGCACCTAGTCAGTTCCGGTGTTAGGGGAGTGAGGAGACGGAAGTTGGACTGGAACGCGCCCCATTTAAGAAAGTCTGGAAGTCTTGCTCCAAGCGGAGGGGCAGAGTCGCAAGGGGGGGGGGAATGACCGGGGCGGTAATGAGGGGGGGAGATGAATCAACACAAGCCGCGATCATAAGACAGTAAGAAAGCACAACAACTTACCGATATATACGAATAGAACGAGATCTAAGGCGAAAAAAAAAAAAAAGGGGGGGGGGGGGCAACGGGGAAGAGGGGAAAAGGCTAGCGAAAGGGCGCAAAGCGAACGCCCTGAACCGTAACTTAAGCGTCAACACACGAAGCTTAACCGCTTCCTTTTTTTTTCCTGTTTTTCGGCGCAGTCCTGGTTCGGCAAACCGAGGTTTGGCGGTGAAAGCCAGGGAGCTGTCCCGGTGTGCAAGTCGCGGCGAGCGGCGCGATGGCGGGGATGGCGGGCGTGGGAGAGGAAGAGGCCGGGCTGCACGCCCGCCTGGGGGCCCTCCAGCAGGACGCGTCGACCCTCATCAATAGCCTCGCGGGCCTGGGGGCGCCCGGCACTGGGGGCGAGAGCGAGGACCTGACGCGCCGAGTCAAGCAGGACCTGGAGCGAATGCGCGCCTGCCTGCGGGACCTGGAGCTCTATGCCGAGGAGCAGGAGACGTGAGTGTGGCGCCGATGGTGTGCGGCGCGCAGCCGCTTCGCTCTGGCTTGCGTCCGCACACATCACCTGAAGACTCGAGGCTGTTCAAGGACGTTGCTTGCAAAATTGCACTTCTGCCCAAACCCGGTCTGTCTGGAACGATTCGCGGCGGCGGCGTCCGTCCAGGGCTACCCGAAAGGATCCCACAGAACGCCTGCGCGGGTGTGCCAGATGTGGGCGTCGATTGCCCAGTAGCTGATTGGGCTTCCGTCCTGCCGTCGAAAAGAAGGGGGCCCGATGGCACGCTGCCAGCGGTTGCCGCAGACGAGATGTTACGGGTGGACGCGCTGCATCAAGCCGCCCCTGCGTTCCCAAGTCCCGCGTTGCAGGATGGCGGGTGTAGGAATCACAGTTGTGTTGAAATACGACTTGCATTGACTGGCAAGATTGTCTTTCCCACCGAAAGGAAACAAGTCGTACTCCCCTCCCGTGCGAGAATTGGCATTTCGAGCTCACCAGGAGGTGATGCAGCTGTCTCGGGGTGCAACAGGCACAGCGCACAGCACAGACCGCAGGAAATTTCATGCAGTGTCGTAAGATTGGAAAACTGGCTCCGACTCGACGGTTACAGAAGTCGACGGAAACGGTTGCGAACGCCGATGCAATCATAGGGAAGGGCGAGCCATAACAAGGGTGTGCAGGAGTGACACGGATGCGTAAGATTTTGCCAAGCGTTTGAGAAGGGTCTTGTTGTTGGTTGCTGCATTTCGCGAACCATCTTCCCCCATTCCGGTCATCAATGGAAGAGGATAGGCACCGACATTCGCGTGTGCATGCAGTGGAGGTGTGCCAAAAAACCGTGTGTGCGTCGCCCAATGACAGACTGTGGCTTCTGGAAACAACTGATCACCCCTTGAACTTAAGGGTCAGGGATGCAGGCAACGATGCAAGGATAGCAGGTTGCCACTTTGGTAACGCCCTCTGCTACTGTTTATCCTTAACCCTTATTCTGCCACAAGAAATTCCTGGTTTCGAATGCTTTAAAGACATTTGGACATTTTTGCCCTTTGTTTCTGAACGAGCTGAGTTGGGCACTGCAAACGCTGCTGTTGGTGGGAACAGTCTGCCAACACCCTTCTGGGCAAAGTGGGCACTAGACTTAGTGCTTTGTCCTTTGGCTCTGTGGCCACGACAGTGCTTGCCCAACAGCAGTGCTTTGCCAAAAGTGTCCTTTCATGCTTGGGGACAAGGGGTGAGGGGGCAGTCTGGGAGCATTGTGGCATAATGCAGACGAACTTGCATGCATGATTGAGTTGGGTATCCATATTGGTCAGTTGTTGTCATCTGTCGGTGCAGGGATGAGGCAACAGCACAGGTGGCATTGTGGCTGAAAGAACACAAAACAACATATGAGAGGTGTGTGCACTGCAAGTGCTGTTGAGCTTTGAAACCTGTTCTATTGGGGTGGATGACCAGAATGTGAAGTGGTGCCACCACCTTGGTGGCTCGATGTTGTCTGGTGTGTCACTTGTTCGTCATATCACGTTAGATGTGATCAGGGCAAGGTTGCATATTAGTCAGGGAGACGTCATCTTCTGAGCCCATCTGGACTGTTGGGCAGCTGGTTCGCCAAGCTGTAAATGCAGAAAGGAGGTATGCTCATTTTGTGTACAGTGTTGTAGAAGCAGGAGACTCACGAATTGACCATGACCGGTATCCATGACAGTGCCCTTGAAATTGGTTGGGTGTTTTATGCTGCGCCTGCAAGATGGCATTTGCCCACTGCTTTTGTGCTCAACCATGTGCAGAGGCAACGAAAGTCACCTCCTCCTTTGGGCAAGAACACTTGCTAGTCAGTGCTAGTCGCATTAATCCCAGTTTCGTGTTTTTGACAGGGTATCTCAGTCATTTGCTGCAGCCATATTGCAGGCGAAGAAGAACTCACAAAGAGCTTGGCAGGAGGAGGTGAGCAGCGGGCCTGCTGACAAGCCTTTGCAGTGTTCAAAAACAGTAGTTTCACCAGCGTTACAACTTCACAGCTGAATGTCAGCAGGAAAGATATCTCTTGGCAGTGATGCGAATATAGACAAGCTCTTGTTTTGCAAGGGAATTGAGAGAGCACGGCACTGTAGAGGACGTTGCCTTAGCCCTGAGCATATTCAGCCCTGTTGCCTTGGCCAGGGAAATATATACTTGCACCCTGGCTCTGTGTGTTTGGTGTTCTGGGATTCTTCTGTGCCTTGTGAAGAATGGGGCTGAGGAGGAGATATAGGCAGCAGAGCACTTAGAGGGTAGCATAGTATGTGGTGGTGGATCGCATGCTTGGAGATTATTGTACATCACGCTGTGAGAATTACTTTTGGTGCATTGAGCTGTAGGCATACTGTTGATGGAATCATGACTTCATCGCCTGCCAGGGTACATGCCTGGATTAACGTGTGGAAGCCTTACTCTACAATGTTGTATTGTACGATTGAGCAAAGGAGTCATCACGTCTATTGTGATATTGTGCAGGGAGGGAGCAGGGAATGCTGTGGTTATGCTCCTGTTGCTGTGTGTGGATGATGGATGCAACCTCAAGGCCACCTACTCAACAATAGTCGCACTCTTGCTCGCACTGAGGCCATTGTTGTGATTTTCTGTATTCAGCGCCAAGCATTGCTGGGGGCCAGAGCAGCTGGAACAGTCCCACCAACGTTCAGGAATAAGCAGGAAGCTGCACGAGGTGCACAGGATGTGACGGAAAGTTTAAGGCGTACAAGAGAAATGATGGCGCAACAGATTGCCTTGACGGGAAGCTCATTGGAGGTCATAGGTGAGCAACCGTCACACCCACTCGATCTTCATTTTCCACAACAAGCTTTCCCCACGTTGGCTGCAGGTGATCTGTTTGAGTGTGGCCATCCAAAGAAGTCAAAAATTGAATCAGCTCTCGCATGCCGATGCTTGCTGGCAGAACATCCTGATTGTAGCAGGGTGGGTGACTTGTGCTGCCACTGTCCGCATTGCAATGTACCTATTACAGCTGGAGTTTGTGCCATTGTGCCCCAGCAGTTGAGGCATGGAAAGATTTTTGGATATCTTTGACAGCATGGACGTTCTTGGTGTTGCGTGCTCCTTCATGCAGACTCCAGCACAAGGGACCTCAAAAAAGCGCAACGAGAACTGCAGTCGCATCGTGGACTCTTTGCGAAGTCAAGGCGGCTTCTGAACACAATGTCATGGCATGACGTCCTGGACAAGATTGTTCTGTGGGGCGGGGTGTTGCTCTTCACTATTGTCGTCCTGTACATCACTCAGAAGAGAGTGTTGGGACTCACGCCAGGTTTTGTGAAGGAACAAGCTTCACGGATGTTCTGGTTCACGTTGTCCTCAATCTCACACTTGCCATCACATCTGGGCAATCTTGTAAGTCAGGGCCCAGCATCTGGAGGTGTGCAAACGCCGTCGCATCGCACTGAACGCCCGTTGGAATCTGCGAACGTGGCCACATTTGGATCCGGCTCCCAGCCAGATACAGGAAGGGGAGCAGATGCTGCTGAGCAACGGGATGGCATGGACTCATCTGTGGATGTCTTGCATCCAGAAGAGGAGAACAGGGCCGCTAATATGGCACAAGTGGAGCCACCCCACAGAGACGCAGTTGATCTAGATGGTAGGGAGAAAACGGAGGCAGATTTGGAGGAAACTGACAGTGCAACACTGGAGAGTGCAGATGGTGCAGAAGGCGGGGAAGACAACGAAGCGGGCACTGCAGCTGCGGGAAACGTCGAAGGCGTCGACGACAACCCCGTTGGGAAAGGCTCAACACCAGAGGCTGATGACGCCAATGGTGATGCGGAGCTTCAGGGCGGTGGAGCAGCGCCTCAGCTCACGAATAACGACGATTGGGAGGATGCCGCAATGTCTGAGTCTGAGAGCTTGGAAGATACTGACACCGTGTCAGTGCATGAGGACGACCATCTCGTTGAAGGCTCGACGCCAAAGGCTGATATTGTGAGCAGTGGAGTACAAGATTCGGACAGTGGCGCAGCGTCTCAGCTACAAAATAGTGACGACCGGCGGCATTCAGGAAAAGAATCAGATCCACGGCTTGAGGACACCGACACCGCCTCACTGTTTGAGGACGACGCATCAGAGGGTGGTAATGCGATAATTGACAGCCACGGCGTCGTAGATCGTGAGATGCCAGTTGAAGCGGAAGAGGGGAGGAACGGCGAAAATGAGGCCCCGTCATTGGAGGATGCAGAATCTGGAGAAACTCCTGATGGCCGCAGTCAGCAGCTGGCGGCGGATGCCAGCAATGAGTTGCCACATGCAGGAGATGTGGCCGAAGTGGGGGATGCTGATACTGGTGCAGCTCTAGAGAAAAGCGTGCCTGATGGGGCAGACTGCGCCAATCCGCAGGAATGTGGCAACGACGGCGACGGGAGGTTGGGTGAGGACGACCCATATGGGGTGGAAGGTGGCAGGAGAGACGACGGAGTTCAAGCATCTCCGTATGGCGTCCGTGATGCCAAAGAACCGAATGCACTAGCAGGAGCACAGGAAGACGTTGGGGCTGTGGGGGACGATAATGTGAACACAGGGCCGACTATCGATGAGCAAGGTCGAAAACACGACGAGTTGTAACATACCGAGCTTGGGCTGTTCAGACAACAGTTTTGATGTTCAGCCCCATGACGCACCATCGATTCGGGTGTGCCTGTGTTCGGTACACCGGGGACCTGGGCACACCGTTTGAGGTGCCTCGCAAGCATGGATCAAAAGATGGCCACATCACCCTTTGGACAATTGCCATGCCAACCCACAGCACAAGAAACGTCGACTCCGCATCAGGGGATTTGACGCTTTCAAGCCACAGTCTCTAAAGTCTCTCTGGGAACGCTGGTGCCTGCCACAGCCAGCCATCTGGCCAACTGAGACCCCGCGGATTTATGAATCCATTGGTTGTCATGTGCGCGCCACCAATGACCAGCTGTGGCGCACACATGACAAGTCCATGCACCTGATGGGAGATGATAGAGGGGCAGGGCAGGGCTAACTCCTGCCAGTCTCCCATGGTCATATACTACCAGGCTCTGTCCGCTTGTGCAGCCTCCAGACAGCAGTAGAGGGCGTTAGCAATTGAACCAATTCTATACCTGCTGATGGTGCTTCCATGGTGACATAGGGATAGTGCACGGGGAACCAGGCGTCCACAGTAAGGAAGGGCTTTTGGAACATGGCAACAATCAGTGCACAATCCTGTACATGTCATCCAGCAAGAGAACAGCTGCGGCTGAGCAACCAACATGCACGTGTCACACTTAGTATGCTGCGCTGGTCGAATATTTCCTGACATAGCAATATCAAAAGCTCCATGAACACCTCCTGCTGTGGAGCACAAATGCACTAAGCACGACTGTGCCACAAGAGAGTACATCATAGACCATCGTATACAGCTGCACAGTCGACTTTGGGGCAAGTAATCCCCATAGCAACAGACACTGTGGTGCACAGAGAGGGAGACACACTTGTATTGCGATTGTCTTTCAGTGCCAATACATGGCGCCAACTGACAATGGCGTGTATGAACTCACAGTACCCGATCCTCCCAATGCGCAGCTGCTACCGATTGGTTGATCGACATTCGACGTTACAGGGCTCTGCGCTGATCTATGCTGCTGTGTGTGAGATCCTCAGTTCACAGCAGCACTCCACAGTGCAGCAACTCAGCGTCCCCAAGTATGAGACACGCAATCCTGCAAGCTGAACCACGCTCACTTCTGCCGCAGAAGGGAAGGTCACCAGACAGCAAGTGCAGGATGACAACACGTGCAAACCTAGTGACCAATCCAACGCCACTGTCACTGGCTGATTGGTAGGCTCCGCTTGACAGCTTTCACTGTGCCTTTTCTTCTAATCCAACATCCAATAGGCGTGCTACATCTGCACATTCCGTTATGTGTCCTGAAGTTGCCTCGTCGCTCGCTTGGGCTTGCATATACAGAAGTGAGTGGTGCTTAACAGTTGGACACTCCACCGTACTGTCAATAGAATTCTGAAGTTTGGCTCATGCAAGCATCCTGCTGCATGATTCCTGCACTGACACAGCAACCACTGAACAATGGCATCGCATGCGTGACTCCAGACCATCTTGCAGCCATGCCATTGCCAACGAGGGCAACAGAGGTTGGCTTGAGCACAAACTGCGCAGCATTCGCGTCTGGGCAAACATGTCACTGGAATTCGTGCCAAGTCACAGCACTGAAGAGCATTTGATAGAAATGTCCTCCTCAGTTCGTCTCAATCCCTGATGACCTTCTCATTCGTCTTTTCTGCAGGTAATGGCCTGTTGAAACCGCCCTAGCACACAACAAAGCGAGCAGTCGGTAAGTTCGCAGAGCTTACCTCAGCAGTGCATATAAACAACACCAGAGACTCACATTCGTCATCATAAAAACATCCCATGCCCATCTTTGGTTTTAAGATCATGTTCAAAATTTTGTACTAGGATTATGGCGATCATATCTTGTATGGAGATATGGCTGTGTTTTGTTACTTTCTGACAAATGTCAGAAAAAGACTATGGCTTTTGTCTTGTACACTCGACACGCCAGCATAAGCAGATGCCAATGCTCGTTTCATCTTGGTGAGGCCTTCAAACTTGGATAGTACTGTGGAAGGGTGCCAGGGGTCTGAAGCGCCATTCCTTTCAACTGCATAGAGTCGCACATTGGCAAACTCCTTTCTTAAACCACCAACGCATATGGAAGCACAAACACTTGATGGCCTCCCCAGAACAACATGTGTTGGCTATTGTGGGGACAAATCTGTTGGGGCAGTGGACTTTTACTTTCTTGACAGTATTTTCACGTTGCACGGTCCAAAATTAGTGTGGCACAAAGTGCACAGGCCAACAAGAATTCTTGTCGTGAAATGAAAGCAAGACTGGTGAGATCACACCTCCAGGCGCTTTTGAGTCCTTGAATTTCGCTCTACCACTTGCCACCATCAGCTGGACTCACTAGCACTAGTTGCTTTTCGCTGTGCATTTTCCTCCGAGAAGCAAACAATTCAAACTGCAAGAGCTGAGTGCAACTGCTGTAAATGATGACACAATGGACAAGTCACATTGCCCAACGTGTTATCATTTCTGAGTACAACATCTCTGCACAAGTCCCAGCAAAAATCTTGATGCATTTTTACCACCGACAGCATACAGTTCCACGTTGTGCACAGCAGCATCTTGGCATTTCCGCTTCTATGCACTAACTCCTATGCACTTGCTGAACCAACATCAAAACATCCTGCTTTTGCTTGCCATCTCGCGGTGAGGGGCCATGCACCATGTGCACCATACACTCTTGAATACAGTGTCCTGTAAACAAGGCGCATATCCCGTTACTGTGGTTCAGATGCCAACTCATTTCCAAGTGGACAAGCTGGCCCTGCTGTGAGGTGCTGCGCTTCCACCTACCTTTCTGTTCATGTACTGCCTGGCCTGTCGCATGCTCTTCACCCGTACACTGCTGGCATTGGATGCACTGTCCTTCACTTCTGTCCCCTTGGTGGTGTCAAAACCCTGTTGATACAGTGAGACGATTGGTTCCCATGACTTATCAGCCATTGATGGGCGACAATGCAGGTGGGCAGGTTGGTAAATTTTTGAACAGGATTCGTGTGGATGACTGGGCTACATTTTCCTTAGGCTACAATCCCCTTTACAAGACAAAGCTGGGCCCTTGCACCTTGCCGGCGATGTTGAGAGCATACGCATTAAACACTGTTTGTTGCTGTGCTGCAGCTCAAGCAGCTTCTGCATGCAGACCAGAGCAATCTTACAAAGGGGATTCCCATAGCCTGCATCATCTGCATCTCTTCTGGTGTGATATCTGCTGTGAAGTCAACAGCGACCTCTTTGTCCTCTTCATCATCTTTCACATCCCTCCTGTGCCTCTTCCTGTGGCGTCCCTCAGGCGTTCGGCTTCTGCTCCGGCTTCGGCGCGACTTGGTGCGTGACTGTAGACAGAATAGAATAGCTCTTCAGTGGGTGTCACCCTCAGGTACAAGGTCATGGGCCTGCTCGATGGAGAAGGGGAACAATGAAGCTGACAAATTCCTTGCAGATGTGAACATTCTGGAGGTCAACAATCTGAATGGCGCCTGACATCGCCTAATAGGGAACAATGCAGTGACTTGCTGTATTTTGACGAGCAACATCAATGAGGATAGCATTTCTGCATTTCATCGGAATATTCCCTGAGGCTGTAGACTGTGCACACGCTCTGGCGGGTTGACTTGCACTTTGCTTGCTGCAGTCACTTGTGGCAATGACGCTGCAATTCGCAGAAAAGCCTGCAAACTGCCAATTGCACCAGAGCATAAAAAGAATCAACAACCAGTTCACCCTTCACAGAAATGGAATACCAAGTCCTCACAACAACAGTTACAAATGTTCAGCGAGTGCAAACTGCAAGGCTCCCCTTGACAACATACGCACATCCCAGACGCCAGATAACTCACCCTGGACGTTGACCGATTCCTCTTCTTTTCCCTTTCCCGTCTGGGCGACCTCCTGCAAGGACAGCTTCCGGCAGATCAGGATGCTGGAGGATCATGGACGCCTGTGCCACAGTTATACCACCGTGTATAATGCCAACAGATGACCTTGACATCCACTAAATTCCTTTGTGTTGAATTGGCTTTAACGACAATGTGGTGCTCTTGCACCTTGCAGGCAGCGGCCTTGGCACCCACACACTCGTGGCCGCTGCTACTCGATTGGTACTGTACTTTCAGGCACATCTGCACCCTCTGCTGGAAGGCAACAGTATCTTGGAGTATCTTTGCCCAGGAAAGCGTTCTCAACATGTCACCTGCAGTCTTCCCTCTGTAAGACAGCTTTCACTGGCGTGCCCTCCTGAATTGTGTTTTCGTGCAGATCGCCACAACTCTGTTATCACATGTTCTCAGTTCATCTCATGCCATTTCATATGCACCACACCCTGCTATAAGATCACATCAGCTGATGGCAAGGGCCCCTGCTCCCAAACCACCTGACTGACACTTCGGGAACAGTTCTACGAGGGCAGGAGGCTTTAGGCAGGCCTCCAATCCAGGGCCAGGATCCAGTACAAAGGGGTCAGCAATGATGCCTGCCGCTTGGCAGTGTGGCCACCCAACCGCCAGCACACAACGTAACCTAGCGTCACCATCAATGAACCTACGCTCGCCTGAGGTCCCTCTCTCGCTCCCTCTCCCTCTCCTGTTCCCGCTCGCGTTCGCGCTCGCGGCCACGGTCCCGCTCCCTTTCCCGCTCCCGCTCGCGCTCCTTATCGCGCGCCCGATCACGATCTCGGTCGTCCCGCTCCTTGCGCCTCTCCTTCCTCTCCCTCGGCGGACTGGGGCTCCGGCGCCGTTTGCGCCTGTCCTTGCCGCGCTCCGCGTCCGCCTGCCTGTCCCTGGCCATCAGCGCGATCCCCAGGCCCTGCGGGTGCTACTCGCCGCGGTCGCCGAGCGGCTTCCCCGCGAGCGTGCCGTGCGCCTGGTCGCCGGACGCCCGTATGCTGGCGTTTATCGCGCGCAGCAGCCGGACCTCCTTCTGCCGCTGCGAGTCGAAGTGCTCGACCTGTTCCAAAAACGGGACGGCATTCAAATCGTGCCCCCTCCCGCTCGGCACAGGGGGGTGGATTCGAAGCCTGCTTTTCCGCGTATCGTGAACTGCGCCACGCTTTCGCAGGCTTGCCCCCGCATCAGGCTGCTAAGTCAGCTTTAAGTCAGCTGAGTTTGCCCCAGGCGGCCATGAGCGCCCGCGTTCAGCGACCTTGAACCCCGTCACCGGCCTCAATGGGCGGGGGTCTGTCGCTTTATTTGGAAAAGCCAGCCAAGCGCACCCAGGTCCGCCTGCAGCTGGCCTCGTAGGCGGCCCTCAGCTTACGGCAGGCGACGGGGACAACCTCCGGCGAAACCTCCGTGCCCGCCTCCTCCGCGCAAGCGTAGTACTGGTCGCGGGCCTTTAAAAATAGGGAGAAAAGGAAATGCGAGGATCAGCGCAGGCCGGCGTTGGGGTGGGGGAGCTGCCGGGGATGTGGGGTGGCGGTGCGGGGGTACTGGAGCAGGTCGCAGCCGCATGGACTGGGGCGGCAGGTGGCGGGGAGAGGCAGCGGTCGACCCGCAGCGTGGCTGACCACCTGCCGGCCACTCACCGCGTAGCACGCCGCTCTGGCCTTTCGCAGGACGGAAGGGTCCGAGTCTTTGGCACTGGGGCGGAACATGGGGAGGGAGGTGCCGCCCAAAAGGGCGGCGGAGGCGAATTTTATGCGGTGTGTTGCTGGCCAATTCAACAAAAATGTCAAGGCTCCGTGCTTTGGGGGCACTTCGCTCCCGTTAGTGTGGCGCCTGGGAACGGCATCCCCATGATCCACGCTGGATCTATCTGAATTCTTGTACAAAATACCGCCATTGGAAATTGGGACGAACCGCCTCGTTCGCTGGCACACTTCTCAGCCCTGAAAACAACACTGTGCTGGAACTCCAAAAGAATACTTTGCCCCAGTTGCAGACCTCACCTGTTTGTAGAAGCATAATAACCATACGTTCAATGCCAGCGTTGAAATGGCATTTTGCTCAACACAAATCACCACATGGCGGACAGGTCAAAAACATTCAGTGTTGGTTTCAAAGATCGAGGCAGTAACCATACCCAAACACAGAGTTGGCACAAAGATGAGGTAGCCAATCTCTTTTCTTAATAAGAGCATCAGCGTAGCCCTCTTTGCGGAGGTGAAGATGTTTCTGCGGCTTAAAGGGTATCTTGCCAACCGGCACCTGCCCTTCATGGTTTTGGAGGCCGTCCAACCAGGTCTCAACGCACGAATGGGGCCGCCCGCTCGCCCTGCTCTGGTCAGCAGCTGACGCATTTATCGTTCTCCACACCCCTTCGCAGTCTCTGAGTTATATTGTAACTCCTCTTTTCAGCCGGAGAACCGCTCGATTCAAGTTGTGAAAGATCATGTCTTCAATCAACGTCAATCCAAGTGGATTTATTCCCACAAAGCCACAGAAATCTAAAAGTAGCAGTCGAAGAATTGTGGCTTTAACGGAAACACCGCCAACCCGCTCGCCTTGCCTTTCCTCGACCGGCAGCACATCAATAGTGTACACAACGGCTTCCAGTCCCTTCCTTCTGTACCGCAATTTACAGTACCTTTTACCGTACCATAGTGCGGTACAGTGCTCAAGAGGTTTGAGAGACGGAGCACATAGATCAGTGCTTGTACCGCAGGACACTGCCAGCGTGCAGATGGTTGGAATGACCTGAAAATTGAACCAACTTCACGCTACAAGGTCTGCAACAGGCTGTGAAAATACTAGTCCTATACGGCTGACACTGACTGAGATATGAGCCAATGCGTGGCCTTGTATAAAACCGCGCAATTGTACCTGGGGACTTTCAGTGCGTGCAAAGGGATGTTTGGTATGTACCGTGGTGCCACTTTCCAGCGCATCATACCCTGCGGGATCGACACATGTGACATCATCAAGGAAAGGCCCCAACAAAGATCTGTCTCTCCATGAATGGCCCAGAGGGCGTCCAGCCCGAGAGCAGGTCTCCACGATTTCCATCACGAATGTCACCCACCATGCCAGCCCATCAATCACAGAATTGGTCCTGCTGGACCCTTGCTCCGACTCTCTCCCTGGCGCCAATTTGACGCCAAGCGTACCAAAATCGCCACGGCGCGGTCCCTTCGTGCTGCCGCCATCGACATAAAGATTGATGCCCCGGGTGGGGGCTTCAGCTCGGCGCCGCGCCGACACTGTTTGTGCGGTAATCCTCGCAGTGCTTCTCCCGCCTACCTTGGGTTCAGCCCGCTCACTGGCCCACGATAATCAGCGCGTGCGCCGGTGTATTGGCCGCATTGGCCTCCCCCCGCGCCCCCTGCCCGGCAACGCGGCGTGTGCTCTCCCCGTCAACATTCGCACCCCAATTACCAGTCCGCCCGACGCCCCCGGGAACGTGTCCGCAGGCTTCCCGCTTCATGTGCTGTGAACCTGGGGCCGCCTAATTTGTACGTGGCGGCCCCCCCCCCGGTTCCTGGATTACAACTGCGTGCCAACGCTCGCACGAGGACCGGCCGCAAACAGGCCAGGCGTGTCCGCTGGGGCCCGGTCGTGACGCGAACAGCGCTCGGAGTCCGCCGCCCGCGCCGCTTTGTTATCCGGGAACGGAGCCCGGAGCGGGGAACTTACAGGCGGTGTTCAACACCCCGTTGACGACATTTGCTTGGCCGTTTTCTTGCCGTCGGCGGGCGAGATTTTTGGAGCACTTGCCGTGGCGTCCGAGCGCAGAGACATTGCCCCCGGGATGAAGGCCGGCCCCTCCGCGCCGGGGGAGGCACAGGGCGGCCAGCCGCGGGGCGAAGCGCCGTCGTGGCTGGTGTTCAAGAAGCGGGGCGGGAGTGTTGACCTGGCGCTGAGCTGCAGCTACGAGGAGCGGCGCAGGGCCGACGGCGACGGCGGCTGCATCGCCAGGTCGTCGGCGGAGCCGGGGGATGCGCTGCAGAGCCCGTGGAAGAAGACCTTCATCGCGCCGAACTCACGGAAAGGTGCGCCGCACGGAACGGGCCTCCCGGGTGCCTGCTGCCAAAGTACGGGGCCGCCGTGAGGGCCGGGCGGTGCTCATCGGTTTGTGGCGATTGTTGCGCAGGGTGGCTGAGGGGCGAGAGCGCCAGAGAGGTAGGCCGAGCTGTACCCGCGGCGTTGGGGGTCTGGTGATGGATTGCCTTGGTTGGACTAGGTTTAGGTGTGACTGGCCTCGACGGTTCGCGACGGGCCCTTGCGCCCGGTGCGGACGGCGCGTGGGCGCTGCAAGGAAACGGGCGCGAGCGTTGGACGTGCAGGCGCTCGCCGTTTGGCCGCTATGTCGGGCGTTGCCTCGCGTTGGTCTGATGGCGCCACCGGATGCGGCGAACGGCGACTGCAGGTAGTCGCCTCTGGTGACCAGGGCTGCAGGCCGAGGCTGCCTTTGGTTTGGTGCGCTCGACGCTGCGTTTTGGCTCCGGGCCGTGTGAGCCGTCCCCAATGTTCCGGAAACTTTGTGCGGACGTTTGGCCGCACGCTTGGCATGCGGACAGAGCCAGCCTTGGAGGTCGACTGGCGACTGCGCAGGTCACCGGGCCGAATTGGCCGTGGTTGACGAGAAGCATCGCGGTGTGCGGGGAGGCTGAAATGCTGCAGCCGTTGTGGTGCTCTGCCGGGTCCTGTTGTTTGGTATCCAGAAACGGTCACAGGGCATCGGGCGAGCCACAGGGGTTAGGAAACGCTGCGCGTACTGCGAAAGTACTGGATTGAGGGCATGTGATCTGATGGCATGTTTTCTGATGGTATGCTTTCACTGGTGCGAAGCGTGCCCAGCTGATCCTGGCAGATGTGAAAACAGCTGTGAAAGCCAGCGTGCAGCAGGCGATGATTAGAGTCTGCGCCAGGCAAGAACGCCCCCTCCCCCCCACCCTTCCCGCTCCCCAACGCCCACCCCACCGCCCACCCCACCACCTTGCACCTGTGCTGAAACAGCTACCAATGCGTAACCTCTAACACAGTGGTGCATTTGCAGCTGTCTGTTCCTCCACCCTTGGCCAGCATATCGGAGCCGATTGGAGGTAGTTTCACAACTCGCCATCAACATGGATGGGTGCACATGCGAATGAGCAGACTTTTGGCAAGATGGGGAGTTGGTGAGTGGAATCACTGAAGAGCATCAGCCTGGTTGGTGATATTGAACACTGCAGGACAGCGCTATCTGCATCAATGCAATAAATGCAGCCCCAACCTCTGCATGGATAGTATTGCAACCTCACTGCCAGATCCTTGTGAGGAAGGGGTACATGGAGTCACCTGCTCCCTGAAATTGCATGTGTCTCTTCTGTACGTATGTACATGGATGGAATAGTATCCACAGTGCAGGAGAAGGTACAGATTGGCTAGTAGTATGAGGGCCTTTCTGCCGCAGCTGATCTTGAACACCATGCCTTGGTGATCGCTGCAGATGATGCGCCTAAGGTCCCACTTGTGCCACGCTGGAGTTCAACCAGGCTGGTGCCAAACAAAGAAGCCTATTTTGAGGAGGACATTGATGATGTGGCTTGCTGCCCACCATCGCCTGTGGGCGAGGACTCCGAGGAGGGCTGTGGTGGGTGCAACAGGGGACATGTTGCTTGCTGCAGTGGAGCAAATATGGTGTAGGGCCAGCAAGCAGCAACACCATCAGTTTTGGGTTTCTGTGTGAATATCCAGAAGACAACCTTTTGGTATGTGCCATGTAACTTCTGCGTGTCACGATCTGCAACTGCAACTCAAAGCATGGAGGTGACTATGATCGCAGCCTGCAGTGTGCGTGGTCATCCTCTCAACGCACCATGGGCGGGATGTGTTCTTGCGTTTTCTTCAGCATACTTGGCCTTGGCCACTGGGCCAATGAAACCATTGATGTTATTGCGTGGAAACTTATGATATCACCAGCGCTAAGTGCAAGTGAGTTTGAGATTATGATATCACTAGTGCTAAATGCATTGGGGGCAGCAGTTCCTGTGTGTGCTGGGGGTGCTGTTGGCTGAGCACAGTGACCAAATGAGTTTAGCATGATGTTACATAGCGGAGTTAACGCAACAATTCCGCTCTTGAATATTATTCTGGACCTCTGGATGCAGAGAATGGCATTTCAGTTTCCAGAAGCAAACATGGGACCCCCTGTCGCACACGATAGCAAATTCCACGATTGCCTGATTGTGATATGAATGCCTATGGCACAGCATCAGGCTTTGGGAGGTCCTGGAGAAATATGTAGTACCTGCCAGCGTATTATCATGGGCAGTGCATTGGAGGTTATAGTCCAAGACAGCAAAAGGGAGTGTACGTTTTGCTTGTTCTTCAGCACTCATAGCTGCCCACACATTGCAACCTTCTGATAGCCATGACCCACTCTTCTGCCCGTTGGTGCCTGTCGTTGTGCAGATGGTGGCATCCCACACGCTTTGCATCATCTCCCTCCAACTGCTAACCAGTTGTGACCACCAATGCAACTGTAGCAGCTGGTTACCATGCACACTCGTGTCTGTGACCTTCTGGTAGTGCTCAGGGCTGTGCAGTGACAACCAGGAACTGCATTCCACATGGACAAGGCGCTTGTGACCGTAAACAGAGCCCTCCCTCACTGGCTTGTGGGTGCGAGAGCAGTGATAGGAAGAATCGGAAAATGTCACTGCAAGGCCTTTACCTTGCATGTGATTTCAGGCGCGAAGGTATCCGATCAGTGCTTGTTCAATGCCCCAAGATCGTACTTCTGCACACCACCCAGTTGCAGAACATGAGAATAGAGGCAGAAAGCCGAGGAAATGATCAACGACGGACCAGCAGTTGTTGAATTGCGCCAACTGCAATAGGGCTGACCTCGATCGTACAGCCTGGACAGGGCCCAATTTGGCCGGTCGACCCTTGTCTTTGTGAAAGCGGGTAGTTTCAACAACACTAATTGAACAGTGCGACATTTTTGTAGGATCTGATGCCCACTTCCGGGATCAAAAGCTGTGCAAGCGATGCCAGAGGGAGGTTGAGAAGGAAAACGTCCGCGTTCGATTGCGGGTGGACTGTGAGGGCCGTGTGCATGTGCGCCTTCAGGTGATGCGGGCTAGGGGCTGGGACTCGGATACGTTCGCACAAATGATACCACAATACTCGTCAGGCCAGGGCCTTGCCGCTGTGCCAACCATGGAGAAGAAGGCGGGGCTGGCTGGCTGGAGTTGTTTCACACAGTGTTTTTCAGTCTGTGCAGAGCCACAAGTACAGGTGTGACGAGGGAGCGGGCGGTTGGGGGTCGCGGTGGCGGCGTGGATTCTTTTGAGGTGGTGGACGGGCAGTTTACTATTTATTGTTACTTTGAGCGCGAGAGGATACGATAACTGCTGTATTGCTCGTTTTGTGGCGTCGGCCAGTGGCGAGAATATGTGCGGGCCTTTCATACTTCGAATTTTGCTGCACTGGGCCTGTCCGACGCTGTGATCTGATCAACAGGTGCGCATTGTTTTTTTTCACTAGGCAGGATGCATCTGACACTCTGAACTCGGGATAGTGGTGGTTGAATGTAGCCCGTTGTACTTAATGTTGTGATGGTGTTTTGAACGGGATGCAAGACGTCGCCCCAGGATTAAGCGCGCAGCTTCACGTATTTGTTCGGGTGTGGCATACTCGAACAATGAGCATCGCTGATTTTGCTCGCAATTGCCAACGCTACGAATGGACTGGTGGCCAGACAGCACGTTCGAAATGTTCTTCAAACAAAAACATCACAGGTGATAGATGCACAGGATTTCTTCCAGGAAAGAACAATTCGCTGGCGCAAACAGAGTAATTTGGTGCTCTAGCACAAAAAAGTCCACCATCGCGAAAAGACAAATTCAGCAAGACAAGCTCTCACGCACCGAATAAAACAATGAAATCCACAACGGAATCCGCAGTGAAGTGGAACAAACTATGAATGCAGCACTCACTATTGCCACAACACAATCTATTCTCGCAAACCTCTATCGTCTTCCCAACAGCCCTCGCAGTAAAAAAGATACCCTCCCAAAGAACCTACAGCGCCCCAACTTCCTTTCCCCAGAGACTGCCAAATGCAATCACTATCCCACCCAGAAACAGGTGCCTGCCGCGCCCGGGACACAAGCGGGAGCAGTCAACAGTCGACCTCCGTGTCAGTCGAAGATGGAGTACTGATCCGCGCTTACACTCTTGCTCACTTTTTGCAGCCAGTGTTCCAGCTGCGCCGCAACCTCAGCCATCGACGGTCGATCCTCAGGCTCCCACCGAGTGCACGCCTTTATCAACTCTTGCCACATTGGCTCGCACGTTTCCAAGTCGGGCAAAGGAATGGGATCGCCCGCCTTTATGCGGTTGGAAATATCGTCCTTCGAGTATCCCTCATACGGCGACCGTCGCACGTACATCTTCCACAAACTCACCCCGAAGGAGTACACATCCACCTTTTCATTGACACTCTCTGTGTGCAGCACTATCTCCGGTGCCAAGTACTTCCGTGTACCTCTGTAGCCACTCGAAGACGACTTCCGAGCATCCACAGTCCCCCCCTCCATTCGCTTTGAGTAGCCCAAGTCGATCACCTTGGCCACCATCTGGCCATTCTCGCGCTTCAGCAGCAGGTTGAGGGGCTTCACGTCAAAGTGAACGATCTGTTGCCGGTGTAGGTAGGCCAGTCCCTGGGCGAACTGGGCACCGATTTCCAATCGCAGACGGAAGGGCAAGGGTTCAGACGGAAAGACCGCCCTGGACGCACTGCAACAGTGCGCGGCACAATTCATCACATATCCAATTGCAGTGTTCCAGATGCGCTGCGCACGTCAATGGCACATCAACTTTGCTGCAGCCTCCCATTGGGCAAATGATGGGCGCCAACAGCCCACAGTGGAAAGGGATTAAATTTTGCCGCAAGCGATTAGGTTGGTAGGCTTGGATTGAAAGCGGCATTCGAGGGCAAGGAGAACAGCAGCAAGTGGATGAAAACAAGGCACTTGAAGTTCGCTGCAGTGCAATAGACGAATGTGGACAGGCAGCGGTTGGTAATTCCAGCAAACGCATCACCGCGGAATTTAAAAGTCAGCGGTCCCACGTCAGGTGAATAAAACTCACCCATGATCACTTACTCTAGCAAACTGTCCAGGCTTCCCATGTTGACGCTCTCCATCATGAAGCCGTAAGGGAGCCATCCCCTTTCATCGAAATCGACAATGACACCCATGAACTGAACAATGTTGGGATGCCGCAGCTGGGAGTGGAGATGCATTTCCAGCTCATTCCCAAACCTGAGCGTTTTCTGTCAATACATAGAAATTGAGGCTGAAAGGGCATCCAGTGCCGAAACACGGAAACTCTTATTGCACTTGCCAATCAGATAGAAAAACACCTACGTTGTATTGAAGGCTATTGTCTTGTCACGTTATTTGGCATGATGCTAGGGCATGATGCTAGGGCTCTCCTTCCCCCAAAAAAAGAGAAGAAGAAAGGACTGGTACCCGATGCACAAGACGGAAATGAACATAGGGTCGAAAAGACACCATGGCAGCCAACTGGAGCGATACAAACGCCTGTTCGCAACCATCCCAATGCAAGTTGCAAGCTTGTCTACTTTGGCTGTTCTGGGGAATGCCATTATCTCCAATCTAAGAAGGCATCAAGAGACGCCAAAACATTGTGAGCCAAGAACAAATACCGTAGTATACTTAGCCCTTCCGCATCAAACAATTTGGCAGTTACGTTTTTTCCTCCGCATGTTTTTCAGAGCGTTTTCTTCATTTTTTCACGTTGCCCCGCAAAAGTTTTATTAAAACAGCCTTACTAGTTTTATTAGTGCTCCGCCAAATAAGGCCAAGCGTTACGTTACGATGTGGAAGGGTTGAAGACACTACAGCAGCAATGTATATCACCAGGTGATGCAATTGCATAAAACCGCGTGATTCGCGGCTTGGCAGGGGAGCTTGTCCAAGCCAATACACGTACACCAATCCCCTACACACCTTGAATCTCTTCACTGCAACTGTATAATTGGCTGTTGCGCTGGCTATTCCAGACTCCCGTATTACTGCAGGGCCCAAATGCAGCTCCTGGAGTGGCACCTGGAACATCTTCTTCAACTCTTTGGCTGGATCTCCAGGCATTTCCGTCACT